TGATTTGGTACATAGATTGTTGGGAGTACGGCCACACCCTGGGACAGATATTCGGGGGTCCGCATTGAGGATGGTGATAAGTCCATTTTTGTACTTATTTTTCTTATCTAAATTAAGCGATTTTTGTACAGAAAATGGAAAAACAAGGCACATTTTGGATATTTTGGTTCAAGTTTCATGAATTCAGGTGAAAATTACATTCATAATATGTTTGATGAAATTTCGGACCAATTGAGCACAAAATGAGTCAATTTGAGTAACAAATAAATCCATATCTAAAGAAGGAAGCAGAATATCAAAGTGGTCCAGAAGGGAAATTTGAAGAGCAGAAAATACAGAACAAACCGGCCCAATAAGCTCACAGGCGGTCAAGCAGGCGGCCAGATCTGACCGCCCTCCAAGCCACCTATGGCTATTTTTGGAAAATCAATTTTTCGACTTTGATCGGGACCGCAAAAGACCGAAGGCTGCCGACACTCCACGAAGGGCGGCCGCCCTCGGTGACCGCCTACGGCACAAGACGACGAAGCCAACGACTGTCAGTGTGAAAAGACGGCAGGCGGCCAGACAGAAACGGCAGGCGGCCGCCTTCCGTGACTGCCTGCGGCGAAGTGACGTGAGGCACGTTTGATTGTCCGGTGAAATGACGGCAGGCGGCCGCCCACGAGATTTTTTCTGCTATAAATAGCCCGATTTTTGCTGAACTCAAACACACAACTTCTAACCCTAAATCAGTTCGAAAAGCCTCCTTTCTTCTTCTATTTCCGCAGCTCCAAGGGATTTTGGAAAAAGAAACTTCAAATCTTCATATCTTCTTCATTTTAGCTCCAATTTATAAGTTCTTTATATGAAAATTCATCTTCTCGTCGTGTAGATTCTGAATATGTTGTTTTTATTTTCCAAATGTTGGTGAATCATTCTCAACATTAATTTTAAGAATTTCGTATTTTCCATATTTATTCAAGAAAAATAGTTCTTGTTATATTAATCTCCTTAGATAAACTCAATACCTAGTATAAGTGATGTTTATTTGTGACAGAAATAAAAGTTTAGATGTTGGGAGTATTGAATTTAATATTTTATTTTGTTCTTATGATTTATGATCATATCTTATTTTATATGTAAAGTGTTAAAACTAGTAATGAGTTGTTGTAGTTAATTTACTCTTGGGAATGAGTTGAATTAAAGAATATGGGTTGACCTTGTTTGACTGAAAATTAGGAGTTTAACTAATGTTATGAACTAGTTGTTTAAAATGATTAATTTGATTACTTAATAGATTTGGTCATTTCATTAATTAAACTTTGGAAGATTATTTTTAACTCGTCTATGAGATTATAAATAGTTTAAGCCAAACATATTGAGCACATCAATGAAGCCTAGAGATAGGATAAATTAATGGATAGAATTTAATCTTTGTCTATGAGGAATAAATTCAATTGTTTAACATGAGAAATTTCATTAATTAATGAAGTTGACCATTTTGTTAGCTAAAATGCGGAAGGTTATATCTATCTTGTCTATGAGATTAGAATATAATTTAGGCTTACCATTTTAAACACATTAATGAAGCCTAGAAATAGGTTAAATTAGTGAAAGTAACTTAAATCTTGTCAATGACAAAAGAAATTACTAGTCCAATCTTTAGTTATAAATACTCCTAATTATTAGGTCCAAGCTAAAAGGATGTACCCATATTTTATAATTCAATTCATTGCCCTTCTTTGATCAATCCATTTAGAGTTTAATATTATATTTTTCATTTAGTTTATTTTTGAACCATCATTAGTATTTGCATAATTTAATTTACTTTCTTTTTCAAAAAGTAGTTTAGAAAATCAATCAAAAGTTTTAATTCGGAAATCTTCCAATAATTTGCGATAACTTGTGACTGGACTTAAAATCAAGAAATTCCTCCGCCATTACTCAGAGACACGATACTCGGGGGAAAACCGAAAGGTTAGATTCCGTTTTACTACAACGCCGCGTAAGCGGTTATCAAATGGCGCCGTTACCGTGGAATGACACGGTGAAATCTTGATTTTGATTTTAACATGGGTGAATTCAAGTTAGGGAGACTTTCTATCTGTTTTTTGTTTTGTTCTCACATTTTTGCTTGAGATTTCCCCATGGATTACTCAAGTGAACACTTTCATTCTCAACCACCATATCACTATCCATATTATGAACAACAAGCTAAGGCTTCCAAAATAATCAAAATGAAGGATATTATGAGCAAGTTTATGAGGATAACAATCAATGGTACGAAAATCCACCTTTGGGTATGAAGATTACCAATTTCAAGATAATTATTTCCATCAAAGGCAAAATTTTGAAGGCTATGATGATTTTTCCTATCAAGGTAATTATCACAATGATTTTAATTATCATGAAAATTACCACGAAAGGCTAGAAAATCATTACACTGGCACAAACGAGTACTCTTACGAGGTTGACTCTGGAATTTCACCTTATCCTCAACACGAGCTCGAAAAATTAAAATCATCCTTACTCGATTGTGTGGAAGACTTAAAAAAGGCAAGGATTGAACTAGCATCTCGTGACGAGAGTCTCGAGAAATTGTTTGAACAAATCATTTATAACAATGAACACAAAGTTCAAGAGGAGACATACGAGGAAGGTGCTAAATCTGAGGAGGAGGTTGCGGTAACTATGGGCGAGATGGTTGAAACTCTTTTCACCCCTATTTCTTTTGAGCCTCTCATTGCTACTGAGTTAGAGCCTATCCTCGTTGAAATTAGTCCTGAAGAGCCCAATCTGAAAGTGCCCACTGAAGTTGATGAAGAGACCATAGACGAGGAAATACTTTGTAACACCGACCCTACCCCACCATCTATGGATGACCTCTCACTTAAAGAGTCCTTGAAAGATAGCCTTGATGAAGATGTTGATCCTACACGAGCCCAAGTGACTGATCAAGTAGTTGATGAAACATGTGATGTTGAGAAAACATTGTCCGATGATGCCTTCTTTGACTCTCTACTCAATGATGACAAACATAGTTGTGGTAGGCAAGGATCTGTTTGCCTAGATGATATTTGTGGGGTTAGTGAGTTAGGAAGTTGGGATGCATTCTTAGAGAGTGACATAAAGTCTAAACTTTGTGATTTTCATGTTGAGGGCATAGATGAAAAAGAAAAAACTCATCAAGAATATGAAATCTCTATTCAGACTACTTTTACATTGAACACTCCATTTGAGCGGTTGGAGAAACCAGAAGCACCTGATCCTGAAATACTTGTTGATTCTACTAATGAGAGTGATGCAGGATATGTGCTAATTCCTTGTTCGAATGACGTGTTCTTTGAAGATTATGTCACATTTTGGTGGTCACGAGAGTTCGAAGGTCTACGCCATCTGACTGCACACCTGGAGGATAAGGTGGAGGCACTAGTGATGAGTGCTCCACAACTGATTTGCATTATAGAGAGTTCTCTCTCAAACGTCAAGCTAGTGACGTTAAAGAAGCGCTTCTTGGGAGGCAACCCATGTTTTTCATAACTTTGTTTGTTGGTTTTGTGTGATTGCAGGTTGTGCTTCAATAAATAAATTGTGAGTTGAACGCTTTGACCCGATTTAAAAAAAAAGTAACCATGGATGATGTAAGGATATTTTTAAAACAATTTTATTCCTGTTTTCTTCATTCCTCTTCACAAAATCTTTTCAAAACTCAAGTGTGAGGAAAGAACAAAAAGAAATGTGCCTTACACTCAAAACTTTGTGCATTAAAAAGAGACCTCGAGGGCGAGGTCCAGCTCAAGTGTGAGGAGGTTGCGTTTTACACTCAAAAGTTAAAACCTTGTTTTCGAACAATCTTTTTACTATTTTTGATATGAAACATTAATTTCTCAATTTGCTATCAATCACGTAATAGCTTAGAAAATCACTCTTATTATAAGAATTTACTTTTATTATTATTTTTAGAAAACTTGAAATTGTTATGGGTTTTTGGTTGCGAATGTAAAGGGCTAAATTTGTTTTAATTGGAAATTCATTGTATTCATTAAAACAAAAATGTTATTATTAATAAAACTCTTCAAAACTCATTGTTATAGGACAATTCCATCTCCGAAAAAGGCCCCCCCGAGTATTTGTACTGTACCAAATTATGTATTGAACCTTGAGGAATGTATAAAAGCATTTTACGTGATTGTAAATTTTTATCATTTCTATTACGTGAATGGTAAAATTCACGTGGGGCCCACACCGGATGTGGGGCCGCCCGATATTATCGGGACCACATATTCAGGGGTGGATCTAGCTTTGGCATCCAGGTGGGGCCAAAATGTAATTAAAAATGAATATTCAAAAAAAATATATTCTAGCAACAAAATCAAAAACAAAAATAAAGATATAAGAATAAAAGTTTGCATTAAAGTCAAATACAAAAACATCATAATTTTACAACTGTTCTCTACGGGTTTTCATCGATTGATATCGTTTGATAATGACATCATTGTCAATTTTCAAGAAGATGTCTTTTTCCACATAAACAATAAGTCTATCATTGAACCAGTCGTCACTCATCCGGTTGCTCAACCTATCTTTCACGATATTCATTGCTGAAAATACTCTTTCAACACTAGCGGTTGCAACAGGAAGAATCAATGCCAATGTCAACAACTTGTAAACTAAAGGAAACACCTTGTGCTTCTTAGTTTCTACCAACTTCTCTGCAAGGTCACCAAGTCCATTGAGCTCCTTAAAAAAAGCATTAGAGCGCACATCAAAGATATAACTTTCAAGTTGATCAGTGAGAATACAAACATCTAATGGTGAAAAATCCCGGGGATAAAACTCGGCCAATCTAAGCAATTTCTTCTTCTCAAAAGCAGAAAATGAATCTCGTGGAGATAAGCAAGCAATGCATAGTAGCAACTATGTACTAGCTTCTGAAAAGCGATCACCCAACTCTTGCAGTTGCAAATCAATCACAGCACAAAATAGATCATAGCGATAGTGATGCAAATTAGTAAGAGTTGGTCCTTTACGTACGGGGCGACCTCGAGAATCAAAACGGATGAATGTGTCATTCATGTTTGGGATATCAATAGAATGTTGATCACAAAAATTACAAACCTCCTCAAACAATGAATCCCATCTGTCATCTCTAGAAGCTTGAAGTCTGTACCTGCAAACTCTAACAAGATCCATTGCATTGACAATATCTTGGTCACGCCTTTGTAAAGCATGATACAACTCATTTGGAAGTCATGTTCAAATGGTTGACAAGGGCCTTTCTGCAAATATGCTCTTCGAACTTGATCTCTAATATTTGGATGATACCTTGAGATCGGTATTCTCAATCCAGGGTCAGATGGAAGTTGGGAAGCATCAAACTCATTAGCGGCGACTGATTGTATGATTGTATGCTCTTCGTCATTTGTTGTTGAGTTTTCTTGAATTGTAGTTGACGGCACAGCCGGCACTACAATTTTTGATGAGCTACTTTCATCAGCTTTTTCTTCAACAGGGTTATAGTATCTCTTCATTACCTATTTACCTATGTTGAAAATAACGGGATGACTACTTACAACACGAATATTAATTAACTTAGTAATTAGATTAATTAGAACACCTACAAGTCACAAGCAAATACATACTACAAATGATGATTACAATTTACAAGTTCACAATTAATAATCAAATTCACAATTTCACATCAAGCAAAGTTTAAAATTCACAATTTACAAGTTCACAATTAATAATCAAATTCACAATTTTACACAAAGTTCACAATTAATAAAAGTTTAAATTCACAATTAATAAAAGTTTAAATTCACAGAATCACAAATACACAAATTCACAATCAAAAAAATACCTGTTGGGCTGTCGTGCAGAGCTGCAGAACTGCAGAAGTGTAGTCGGCGGCAGGGGCGGTCTCCGGTCGGGCGGAGTCGGCGCAGCCGCGCAGAGCTCAGTCTTCTCGGCGGAGTCGGCGCAGAGCTGCAGCAGTGCAGGCCGCAGCAGCCAGCAGGCGGACAGGCGGTGCAGCCAGCAGGCGGACGCCGCGGACAGGCTTCTCGAATCTCGCCGTTCTCCGGTTCTCGCCTGAGTCGCCTCTCGGTCTTGCCGTCTTGCCGTCTTGGCCCTTGGGATTGCGTTTTGCCGTTTGGAGTCGCAGAGGGATTGCGTTTTGCCGTTTGGAGTCGCCTCTCGGTCTTGAAGAAACGGACTCTTTCTTTTTTTGGACTTCAAAATTCAGGTTGGGCCTGATTTTTTTAAAAATTCAGACTGGGCCTAATTTTAAAACACCTATACTAGTTAAAAAAAATCAGCATGGGCCTAGGCCCTGCCTGGCCTAAGGCCCAATCCGCCCCTGCACATATTATATTAATCTTGGACTAAATAATATGTATATGGTGGTGGATATCCTGATTGGGCCATGGCAATGGCACAGGGTTGATCGGTTGGTCAAACGGGGCCAATTATCGGTATCGGCATTTTATCAGATAACAGCCCAAAAAGGGATTTCCGGAGACTTCTAAATTAAAGTTGGGGAACACATATTGATTCTAAGGCCCAATAAGGATTGGGAACAAGTGGTATATTTTATTTGACCCGATAAAATAAAATATACTTAAAACAGTCTGGAAAATACAACTTTCGGGACCGATTGTACACTTCTGGACAAAAAGGGTTGACCTCCCACATGGGTGGGGGACAACCCACGAATTTAGCCACATTATTCAAGGCTTGAGTCGGCTGGTATGTGAGGTGAGGTGGGAGAGGACTGATTTGAGAAGTTTGGCATCAAAACAAATCATGGTGGCCCTACTCTCTTTCACTCATTGCCCAAATAGAGACAAAGGGGCATTCCTACCCATCCCCCTCCTCACTAGTTCGGACAGCATCAAGGGAAAGGAGGAAAGAATCTCCACAACTTCATCTTTCATAGCAAAACTCGAGTAGAGCTCAAATAAGAAAGTTGGGAGGAAGTTAAAGAAGGAAAAAGCTAGGAAAAAGTGTGAAAATTAAGGTAATAACCTTATCATAACTTTTCCTTTGTTTTTCTTCTAGAATATAAGATATATATCATATGAAAGACCTTTAGTATTGTTCTACATGATTTAAGTGTGGAATAATGGGTTGGAAAGTGATTCTAAGTCCAAAAACGGACTTAGAAGCCAAAAGGCCGGTTCGCCGAAAAATAACCTTTTAGAGGTTATTTGTATTACTATGGGTTTTATGATGATAAACCTTGTTAGTAACTTGTCTAAGGTATTCAAGGAACTTTCACGGAGTTGAAAGGGGCGCCGGAGTTGTCGCTGGAGTTCGTTGAAGTTCGCCGGAGTTTCGCCGGAGCTAAATCGGGAAGGCTAGAACTTCATAAGCTATATTAAGGTGAGAAGACGGATTTATGCTTTATAACTTTTGCGTGAGGCATGAGATTACCTAAAGTAATCAAGGATATGTTTTATGAAATGAGTAAAGATAACCAAGTGTTTGCTTATGCCATGACTATACATAAAACATAGTTGAAAAGCATGTTATGTAGATTTGGTGGTTAAAAGTGTGATAACTTATTATGTGTGATGTTCCAGGGATCCAAAATGGTATTTTTGGATCAAGGACGTCAAGGAGTATATGTGTATAAAATTTCACGTTAATCGGACTCCGTTTGGGTGGTCTAACGGGCATTGACCGACAAGTCAACTGTCATACCCGACCGGGTATTGACACATACCCGACCGGGTATTTGCTGAAAATTAACTTTGTGGACTACTGTCTCCTGTACTCGACCGAGTATGGGTTGATACTCGATCGAGTATTGGGTTATGCTCAAAACGGGCAGTTTTGAGCGGGTTAATGTGGGCCGTTCAGGTTGGGCCCGCCCACATTGGTTCCTAAGGTTGGTTATATGACTATAGGGCTAGGTATTGTCCATAGTTGAAGGAACGAAAGGTTAGCCATATCCAGGTTAGGGTTTGGTAAGGATTTAGTTTGGGGTTGAGTATCCCCGGGACATTAAATGATCCTGAAACTCGGTTGGGGTTGAGCATCCCCGGGACTATAAATGATCCTGAAACTCGGTTGGGGTTGAGCATCCCGAGACTATAAATGATCCTGAAACTCGGTTGGGGTTGAGTATCCCCGGGACTGCAAATGATCCTGAAACTCGGTTGGGGTTGAGTATCCCCGGGACGGTAAATGATCCTGAAACTCGGTTGGGGTTGAGTATCCCCGGGATGCTAAATGTTCCCAAAACTCGGTAGGATATTATGAATGTAGAATGTAGCTGGTGAGCTAGGCATTCGGGAAAAGGGTGAAAAAGGTCAGGTAAGAACTTTATCTCTAAAAGACTCTTTGAATGAAATGACCTACGGGTCGAGTATTTTACATATATATATACAGTATGTATCATCGGATGAATGAGTCACATATATATATATATATATATATATATATATATATATATATATATATATATATATATATATATATATATATATATATATATATATATATATATATATATATATATATATATATATATGTATCACCCTATTTTTGGGGTCTCGTGTCTGAAACATTAGTTATTCTGCATATAGCCTGCTTGTCACTAGTACTTCTATGGAGTACTGACCCCTCCGGGGCCCCTCACATTTTTCAGGTTGAGGCTAGAGTCCTACTACCTGCACATTTGCCTAGGGTGATCCTTCGAAGAGGAAGACGTGGTTCGTGCTTCCATTCGTATTTTTGAAATCTATAAACTGCTCATGGATTTTTGAACAATGTTTTCATTAAAACAGTTGGGGGCCTGCGTGCCCGTGTTTGCAACGTGTGGCTAAGTATCAAACATATTATTATTTTCCGCATTTGTTTGATTACGATATTGATGTTGATTGTATGTGTTTACTAATCGGTTTGGCAATAGAATCAATCGGACGCCTTGTACAATTCAATAGGGATGAACTGTTGTTGTTCTTATCGGGTTGTACGGCGGTTGTCTACGTGGCTCGGATGCGGTCCGGGGCGTGACAATTAAGTGGTATCAGAGCCATCGATTTCTAAACTATATAATTAACCTCTCAATATGGTTATGTTCAAAAAGTTTTGAATAAAACCATGAACAGAAGTTTTTGTACTTAAGGAACCGTTGGAAACCAAGTTATTGACCTCTTATTGTTAAGACGGTACCCTTAACAGTTTGTTGGCCATAATGTTGGACCAAGGGGTGTCTTTTGTACTAATCCGTCAATTGACATTGAAACGAGTCTAATGACTCATTCCTTATTTATTTCAGAAATGGAGGGTGGACGCAGGATTACTAGGAGGAACCCGATGGGTCGTGCACCGGGGGCCACCGAGCACGATACACGGGCTGAATCACAGACCTCTAGGGGTAGAGGCCGGGTCCAAGGCCGAGGAGGAGGCCGAGGCAGGGGTCAAGGGCGTTCTACAACGCTGACGGCAAGTAGCACACGTGTCGGTTCTGTGCACCCGTCATGGGCCACCGAACCGGACGACTTCACCTATGCTCCAAGCACGGAGCAAGAGGAGACCCCGTACAACGGGGAGGACCTTGAGGAAGAAGATGAGGATGATGATCCTCATTATGACCGCATTGAGTGAGGTACTGGAATGGTACCTCGAGAATAAGGCAAAGAGAGAGCAGCGGCGCCAAGCTAGACAGGCTAGGCAAACCATGGGGCAGGGAAGCCGAGGTGCTTCTAGTGCTCCATCTGGAGCCTTTGGTGGAGACACGATGGTACGTATCTCCAAGTACCTTAAGGAGGCCAGGGCCTTGGGGTGCAAATCATTTGATGGCAAGGGCGATATATCTGAGGCCGCCGACTGGATTAAGAAGCTGAATGATGCTTCTAGGGATATGCAAATTAGACTCGACGTGAAGTTGAGGGTTGCCACCAGGCTACTAGAAGGGGTAGCTGCTGTATGGTGGGAAGGCGTGGAAGGAAAGTTCCACGGAGAAGCCACTTGGGAGAAATTCGAAGTGGAGTTTTATAATCAGTACTACTCAACTTTTGAAGTCAATCTCAAAAGGAGGGAGTACATGAACCTGAAACAGGAGGATGGTTGCTCGGTGAGGCAATTGGAACAGAGGTTCCGTGACTTGGCACGATTCATCCCAGAATACTCCTTGGATGAAAATCGTATGGCCAATCACTTTTGGGATGCCCTACAGTTGGACATCCGTGACCGGGCTACTTACCAACACAACATGACATTTAGCCAAATCGTTGATCAAGGGCTCCTTGGGGAAACCCGATGGAATGAAAGGAAGGCGAGAGACGCCGAGGAGGCGAAGAAGAGGAAGTGGGGCAACTCGGGACCCCAAGACCACTCTCGGAGGCATCACGCCGGGGGTGGCAGTACATTCAGGGCGCCAGCACCACCAACGAAAAGGTATAAGGGCCCAGGAGGGCAAGGGCCCAAACCGGGGAGTGTGGGACCACCAAGGTGCGCGAACTGCGGTAAGAACCACGGGGGAAGGTGCAATGAACCACCCCGGTGCTTCAAATGCGGTAGCACGAGCCACCTCAAACCCTCTTGTCCAATGCTGAACGGAGGAGGACCATCGGGAGCTATGGGAGGACCTACGACTAGTAGGGGACGTGCGGGGCCGTCTCAGGCCGGCACGGGAAGGGGCGGACCCACGGCTAGCAACGCCGCGTCCGTTAACCAAGGGAGGACCCAAGCACAGGTGTATGCAATGACCGAGGCTGATGCTCGGGCCAACCCGGACTCTATTGCAGGAACACTAAAGATCAACGATAGGGATGCGAGAATTCTCATCGATACCGGGGCACAACGTTCATTTGTGAGTGAAGCGTTTGCCAAGGGATTGAACATGCCTTTGGTAGCAATGATGCAACCTTTGCTGGTCTCTACGCCATTGGGAGATGATGTAGAGCGGAAACACTACTATCTCTCGTGTAATGTAGGGATAGGGGGGCACTGTCTAACGGGTGACTTTGTGCCGTTAGATATGCTCGAGTTTGATGCTATACTTGGCATGGATTGGCTCGAAAAGCACCATGCGAAGGTAGATTGCTACACCAAGGTGTTAGAACTAAAAGATGGAGAAGGAAATACTCTATGCTTCAAGGGAGATAGAGGGAAATTCAATCCTTGTATCATATCGGCCATAAGAGCAAGGTGTATGATGAGGAAAGGGTGTCAAGCGTACTTGGACTATGTCGCAGGCAAGGAAGGCAAGGAAAAAGAGTCTCACTGAGGTGAGAGTGGTGAGTGAGTACCCAGAAGTTTTCCCTGAAGAACTCCCGGGACTCCCACAAGATCGAGAAATTGAGTTCACCATTGAAGTAGAACCCGGTACAAAACCCATCTCGATTCCTCCATATCGGATGGCACCGGCTGAACTTCAAGAGTTGAAGGTGCAATTGGAAGAATTACTGGACAGCGGATTCATCAGGCCGAGTCATTCACCGTGGGGAGCACCGGTACTCTTTGTAAAGAAGAAAGATGGTACACTTAGAATGTGTATCGACTACCGTCAGTTGAACAAGGTCACGATAAAGAATAAATACCCTTTGCCAAGGATCGATGACTTGTTTGATCAACTACGGGGGGCAACCGTGTTCTCTAAGATTGACTTGAGGTCAGGCTACCATCAACTGAAGATCAAGGAGAGTGACATACCCAAAAGTGCATTCCGTACAAGGTATGGTCACTATGAGTTTCTAGTAATGTCGTTTGGGCTTACGAACGCCCCCGCGGCATTCATGGATCTCATGAACCGAGTATTTCACCAATACTTAGACCAGTTCGTCATAGTGTTCATTGATGACATTTTGATATACTCCCTGAATGAAGAGGAACACGAAAAACATCTAAGGCTTGTGCTTGAAGCACTGCGGGAGAAGAAACTCTTTGCCAAATTCTCTAAATGTGAATTTTGGCTTGGGGAGATCGGTTTCCTCGGGCATGTGGTATCGGGATCGGGCATTTCAGTTGATAACTCAAAGATTGAGGCGGTCACTAATTGGGAGAGGCCCAAGAACGTGAAGGAGATAAGGAGTTTCCTCGGTTTAGCGGGGTATTACCGCAAATTCGTGGAAAAGTTCTCGGTGATAGCATCTCCACTCACGAAGCTCACTAAAAAGGGGGCCAAGTTTGTGTGGGATGAAAAGTGTGAGAAGGGGTTCCTTGATCTAAAGAAACGTTTGACCGAAGCATCAGTGCTTGCCTTGCCTGTGCAAGGGTTAGGGTATGACATCTACAGCGATGCTAGCATTCAGGGACTGGGATGTGTACTGATGCAATCAGGGAAGGTAATTGCTTATGCTTCTCGGCAGTTGAGGAAGCATGAAGTAAACTACCCCACACATGATCTGGAGCTAGGTGCTGTGGTATTTGCATTGAAGATTTGGAGGCACTACCTCTACGGGGAGTTGTGTCACATTTACACCGACCACAAGAGCTTGAAGTATGTGTTCACTCAGAAAGAGTTGAACATGAGACAGAGGAGATGGATGGAGTTGATTAAGGATTACAACTTGATCATTGACTATCATCCAGGCAAGGCTAATGTTGTAGCCGATGCACTGAGCAGGAAGAGCTCATCATCAGGGGTTTTACGCACATGTTTACGGGCATTGAGGGCACGCGTGGAGATATCCACGGATGGGGCGCTATTGGCCAGATTTGAGGTGAGACCCACCTTATTAGATGAAATCAGAACATGTCAAGGCAATGACGAGGAATTTCAGAAGATCCGGGAACGGATGCTTGTGGGGCCCGTCGAGGGTTTCCGGGAGAGAGAAGATGGACTTCTACTATTCAAGGAACGAGTGTGTGTGCCATCGGATGAGGAGCTCCGAAATTCTATCCTTGAGGAGGCTCACTCATCTGCTTATGCCATGCACCCGGGCGGCACAAAGATGTACCAAGACTTGAAAGAAAGTTACTGGTGGTCGGGGATGAAGAGAGAGATTGCAGAATACGTGAGTCGTTGCCTTACTTGTCAACAGGTTAAGGCAGAGCACCAACACCCGGCAGGGTTACTACAACCACTTACCATTCCAGAATGGAAGTGGGAGCATGTTACCATGGACTTCGTGGTGGGTCTACCACGGACGGTTAGGAACTACGACGCAGTATGGGTGGTAGTCGATAGGCTGACCAAGAGCGCTCATTTCCTACCTATCAACACTACATATACGCTCGAGCGGTTGGCCAAATTGTACACAGATGAGATTGTGAGACTGCATGGGGTTCCGGTCACTATAGTATCGGATAGAGACCCACGGTTCACATCACGGTTTTGGCCTAAGTTCCAGGAATCCATGGGTACGAAATTGAGGTTTAGCACTGCGTTTCATCCTCAAACGGATGGGCAATCTGAACGGGTGATTCAGATCTTGGAGGACATGTTAAGGGCATGTGCCTTGGAGTTCCAGGGAAGCTGGGACAATCAGTTGGCTTTAGTGGAATTCGCCTATAACAACAGTTATCAGGCAAGTATAGGCATGCCCCCATACGAAGCATTGTATGGGAGGAAATGCCGGACACTATTATGTTGGGACGAGGTCGGAGAGGCTAAGCTCGAGGGCACGGAGTTAGTCGAGATCACTAAGGAGAAGATAAAAGTCATACAGGATAGGCTCAAGGCTGCCCAAGACCGGCAGAAGAGCTATGCTGATAAACGTCGGAGGACGTTGGAGTTTGAGGTTGGTGATGAGGTATTTCTGAGGGTATCACCTTGGAAAGGTATCATCAGGTTCCTCAGTCGGGGTAAGCTTAACCCATGTTACATAGGTCCGTTCAAAATCCTTGAAAGGATTGGGGTTGTAGCATACCGACTTCAGTTGACCCCAGAATTAGAAAAGATTCATAATGTATTTCATGTTTCTATGCTCAAGAAGTATGTGCGGGACCCGTCACATATTCTTGAGAAACCACCGGTGGAAATCAGAGAAGACCTACACTATACGGTGCAGCCGGTGAAAATCATGGACCGACAGGTAAAGAAGCTAAGGAGCAAAGAGGTGCCGATGGTAAAATTACTTTCGAAGAGTGATCGTGTCGAGGAGCAAACTTGGGAAGTGGAGACCCTGATGAGCGAACAATATCCATTTCTGTTTGACTAAGACGCGTGGATTTCGGGGACGAAATCCCAAATAAGGGGGGTAGAACTTGTAACACCGCCCCCGAGTATTTGTACTGTACCAAATTATGTATTGAACCTTGAGGAATGTATAAAAGCATTTTTACGTGATTGTAAATTTTTATCATTTCTATTACGTGAATGGTAAAATTCACGTGGGGCCCACACCGGATGTGGGGCCGCCCGATATTATCGGGACCACATATTATATTAATCTTGGACTAAATAATATGTATATGGTGGTGGATATCCTGATTGGGCCATGGCAATGGCACAGCGTTGATCGGTTGGTCAAACGGAGCCAATTATCGGTATCGGCATTTTATCAGATAACAGCCCAAAAAGGGATTTTCGGAGACTTCTAAATTAAAGTTGGGGAACACATATTGATTCTAAGGCCCAATAAGGATTGGTAACAAGTGGTATATTTTATTTGACCCGATAAAATAAAATATACTTAAAACAGTCCGGAAAATACAACTTTCGGGACCGATTGTACACTTCTGGACAAAAAGGGTTGACCTCCCACATGGGTGGGGGCCAACCCACGAATTTAGCCACATTATTCAAGGCTTGAGTCGGCTGGTATTTGAGGTGAGGTGGGAGAGGACTGATTTGAGATGTTTGGCATCAAAACAAATCATGGTGGCCCTCCTCTCTTTCACTCATTGCCCAAATAGAGACAAATGGGCATTCCTACCCATCCCCCTCCTCACTAGTTCGGACAGCATCAAGGGAAAGGAGGAAAGAATCTCCACAACTTCATCTTTCATAGCAAAACTCGAGCAGAGCTCAAACAAGAAAGTTGGGAGGAAGTTAAAGAAGGAAAAAGCTAGGAAAAAGTGTGAAAATTAAGGTAATAACATTATCATAACTTTTTCTTTGTTTTTCTTCTATCATATAAGATATATATCATATGAAAGACCTTTAGTATTGTTCTACATGATTTAAGTGTGGAATAATGGGTTGGAAAGTGATTCTAAGTCCAAAAACGGACTTAGAAGCCAAAAGGCCGGTTCGCCGAAAAATAACCTTTTAGAGGTTATTTGTATTACTATGGGTTTTATGATGATAAACCTTGTTAGTAACTTGTCTAAGGTATTCAAGGAACTTTCACGGAGTTGAAAGGGGCGCCGTAGTTGTCGCCGGAGTTCGTTGAAGTTCGCCGGAGTTTCGTCGGAGCTAAATCGGGAAGGCTAGAACTTCATAAGCTTCATTAAGGTGAGAAGACGGCTTTATGCTTTATAACTTTTGCGTGAGGCATGAGATTACCTAAAGTAATCAAGGATATGTTTTATGAAATGAGTAAAGATAACCAAGTGTTTGCTTATGCCATGACTATACATAAAACATAGTTGAAAAGCATGTTATGTAGGTTTGGTGGTTAAAAGTGTGATAACTTATTGTGTGTGATGTTCCAGGGATCCAAAATGGTATTTTTGGATCAAGGACGTCAAGGAGTATATGTGTATAAAATTTCACGTTAATCGGACTCCGTTTGGGTGGTCAAACGGGCGTTGACCGACAAGTCAACTGTCATACCCGACCGGGTATTGACACATACCCGACCGGGTATTTGCTGAAAATTAGCTTTGTGGACTACTGTCTCCTGTACTCGATCGAGTATGGGTCGATACTCGATCGAGTATTGGGTTATGCTCAAAACGGGCAGTTTTGAGCGGGTTAATATGGGCCGTTCAGGTTGGGCCCGCCCACATTGGTTCCTAAGGTTGGTTATATGACTATAGGGCTAGGTATTGTCCATAGTTGAAGGAACGAAAGGTTAGCCATATCCAGGTTAGGGTTTGGTAAGGATTTAGTTTGGGGTTGAGTATCCCCGGGACATTAAATGATCCTGAAACTCGGTTGGGGTTGAGCATCCCCGGGACTATAAATGATCCTGAAACTCGGTTGGGGTTGAGTATCCTCGGGACTGCAAATGATCCTGAAACTCGGTTGGGGTTGAGTATCCCCGGGCCGGGACAGTAAATGATCCTGAAACTCGGTTGGGGTTGAGTATCCCCGGGATGCTAAATGCTCCCAAAACTCGGTAGGATATTATGAATGTAGAATGTAGCTGGTGAGCTAGGCATTCGGGAAAAGGGTGAGAAAGGTGACGTAAGAACTTTATCTCTAAAAGACTCTTTGAATGAAATGACCTACGGGTCGAGTATTTTACATATATATATATATAGTATATATCATCGGATGAATGAGTCACATATATATATGTATCACCCTATTTTTGGGGTCTCGTGTCTGAAACACTAGTTATTCTACATATAGCCTGCTTGTCACTAGTACTTCTATGGAGTACTGACCCCTCCGGGGGCCCTCACATTTTTCAGGTTGAGGCTAGAGTCCTACTACCTGCACCTTTGCCTAGGGTGATCCTTCGAGGAGGAAGACGTGGTTCGTGCTTCCATTCGTATTTTTGAAATCTATAAACTGCTCATGGATTTTTGAACAATGTTTTCATTAAAACTGTTGGGGGCCTGTGTGCCCGTGTTTGCCACGTGTGGCTAAGTATCAAACATATTATTATTTTCCGCATTTGTTTGATTACGATATTGATGTTGATTGTATGTGTTTACTAATCGGTTTGGCAATAGAATCAATCGGACGCCTTGTACAATTCAATAGGGATGAACTGTTGTTGTTCTTAACGGGTTGTACGGCGGTTGTCTACGTGGCTCGGATGCGGTCCGGGACGTGACATTAAATGTGCATTTAATGCGCGTATTGTAGTTCTTCCGTTGAAGTCCTCTAGCCGTTGAAGGAATCTTTCGTTGGTTTCACCGGTTGAAGTAGTATCAAGAAAATTCTCCAAGTGTCAGGCCTTCTGGTGTCTTCAGTAGAGGGTCGATCAGAGAAGGTCTTGAGCACTTCTGTTGGAGAAAGCTATCAGAGACTTTTGAGGGTTTCTGTTGAAGATAAGTCCAACAGAGAACCAGGAGGGTTTCTGTTCGTGTAAGAACTAACAGAGACCCAGAGGTCTTCTGTTCTGAAGCAGAGAGCCAAAGGTCCTCTGTTAGGACACAGCCTATCAAGGGTCTTCTGTCAAGAGGTCTTCTGTTAGTCGACTAATCTAAGAAACTTTACAAGGAAAATTTTCTAATACATTAAATCTAAAGAAGGGGTACTCTAAAGTCCTAATTAATATAGCATTATCAAAATCTAATTACAAGTATTCCTTACAATTTCCCCCTTTTTGATGATGCCAAAACCCTTTAACTATTTCCAGAGAAGTGCCTTCACCATAAAGAGTTAAAGTATAAAACTTTCATTAATATCTTGGTGGGCAACTTGGCATAGGAAAATAGTAAGAGTACGGTACATTCAGATAGCAGATAATAAATCAAAGCACATAATAAGACAAAGAACAGTAAGATATAAATAAGAAGAAATAGCCTTACAAAGTGAAAGGCAGAGATGTGATTTTATTAGAGATAGTTTACAGAATAGTTCCCTTACACATTCTCCCTAGTAGCTGCGGCCAAGGCTTCATCTTCCCGTCTTTGAAGTCTTTGCAGTTCTTCAATGATTTCGGCTCTAATTTGTGATAGGTTACCAGAACTTTGATAGGAAGCCCAGATAGGAGATAGCTTGCAGTCCAAGTAGCTAAGAACTCCTTCATGTATTGTCTTGCCAGGAACAATGTTCTTCTGGTACCAATCCTCTGCTTCTTCTAAGAATCCACCATGTCTGACTCTTACATAGCCATCTTTATCCAAGAAGAGGTTATGTTGTTGTGTTAGAGTCATTTTCTGTTTCATCTCTTCAAATTGGACTCTGTCAATTTTCTGGGATCCACCCGGTCTCCAATCAGTGAAACTGAGGACCTTCTTTTTCTTGGAGGCCTTCTTAACTGGAGATGGGGGTCTGAGTATACCGGCTGCTCTTTTCTTCTGTATTGCAGCTTCAAAGTAGGGAGTGGGATCAACAGAAGATGATGCCCTCGCAGGGGTTCTGGTAGATTTAGGCTTGGGAGGCTGAGAGTCCTCTTCCCCCTTTTTGGCATCATGAAGATCCTCTAGCATAAGGCTGAGCTTCTGGAACTCTGAGGCCTGTGATGTCGCGATCTGCTCAATGGCCTCTGGTAGAGTCTGAGTGACAGAAGTGAGTCCTTTTATCAACCCTTGCTGCTTCTGGATTGCAGAAAAGATATCTTTGTTGTTTGCCTCAAGTAATACCATCTTCTGGTATCTGTCTCTGTCAGCAGCGAGGAGAGTTTTGGCTTGATCTTGGTGGACTTTGCAAAGTTCTTCAATGTTTAGCAATTTTTCCTTAGTCTTGCGATCAGACCTTTGAAGAGTCTCAAGGTTCTCAGATATGGTGCCAATAGCCTTACCTTGATCCAACAGAGTCTGGTGAAAAGTGAAGAGGGTCTTATGAATACCTTCCACTTCTGTTGAAAGGACATCTGTTTTGGCAGTAGATGAAGCCATGAAGTTGTTGAGAGATTTTGTCAGTGAAGCAAAGCGGCCTGAAATGAACTGCATCCCAGAATTGAGGTTTTCATTCACATGGGAAAGGTGCTCGAAGTGCTTGTCATTAATCTGAATGAGTTTGTCCATTCCTTCCAGTACTTGACCACCAAACTCTTCTGCAGTCTGGACAAATCTATTGAATGGTATTTGTGGTTCTGATTCTTCAAAACCAGGCATTCCCAGTCCTCTTGACTTGGGCATGGGAGCCCTTCTAGGAATGTTGTCTTGGGCTGATGAAAAATGTTGTTGTTGTGTTTCATACTCAAGCTGTGTCAAGGGAGGGGTTTTCTGTCTTTTGGATGAGGCTTCATTGGGTTTACTGACAATGAACCCACCCATGCTGGAAGAGTCCTCATAGGATGAGTAGATGTGTATGGTGTCCCTGACCACACGCATCTTTTTCTTAAAAGATGGATTGGAAGCTGTAGAATTTCCAGAATAACCTTGAGGTGCTGGAACAGGAGACACAGTAGGAGGATCTTGATTCTGAAGTGTGGCAGCATGTACCTGGTTTAAGGTCTTCTGGGGAGAGGGTAATTTGGATTTCTGTTGGGAAGAAGTTTTCTGATGAGGGGAGGTATTCTGATGTAAAGGTGTTTTCTGATGGGGAGGTGAGGGTGGTGGTGAAGGAGAGCGGTTTCTGGTAGGAATTTGCTCTTTGCAAGGTGATGGGGATTTGGTTTTCTTAGGTGGTGAGTGAAGAGAGGTTGAGGTTTTCTGTTCTGGGTTTTTCTGTTGGAGGTTTTCTGTTGGAAGGGTTTCTGGTGGATTAGGAGAGGAAGGGATTTGAGGTTCTGTTGAGATATGAGCAGAGTGAATAGGTGAGATTACCTCAAGCATATTTTCTTCAATCAGAGATGTTCTCCATTCTTGAATTAGCTCCATCATAACATGCCCTTCTGTTTTTTATGGAGAGGGTTCCCCGGGTGTAGAGTAGGGCACCACAGATTCTTTTGCCTTCTTGGCAAATAACCATGCTTCAAAGGTTTCAATTTCATCATCTGCAAAGGGCTTCTCTTTCTTCTCTGAAGAAGTAGAGATGAGAACGGCTTTGCCTTTATAATTTGCCTTCTTTTTCTCAAGGACAGATTGCAGGAAGTTGAGAGCAAAGCATTTAGAGACATCATCAGTGTCCACCCACTTTAGTACTGCCTCTTCTTCGGACTCATAGTGATCAAAATATTGGATGATCTTCTGGAGAGGTCCCATCCTCCATCTTCTCCATGCTAGGACACGTTCAAACTGTCTATCCAGTAGAGATGTGTATCCTTCTCTGTTTGTAAGAAGGTGTTCTGGTGATGTTGACACCCGGTTCTGTTCTGGAGTGGAAACAGAAGTGGGGTTCTCTGGTTCCCCCTGAGTCATAGCATCTCTGACTCCTTCTGAACAAGAGTTGGACACCACTTGGTGATTCAGCTTGGTTTTCTTGTTGAGGTGTTCTGTTGTCACAGAATCATTCAGTTCCCCCTGAGTGTCTGTTACCTTCTCAGACACTGGGATCACAGGTGTGATGATCTTCTTCTTCGTAGTTCCAGAGGTTCTCTTCCTCTTATGTGCAGCCTTCTTGGGTTGAGGAGGTGCAGCTTGTTTGGTTTTCTTCTCCCTTTTCTTTTCCTTTTTCTCAGCAGGTGCACCAGAGAAGGGTGTTTGATCCTTGTCTACTTGTTGTCTCTTGTTATCAAGCTGAAGCTGTTGTTTTAGCTCTGCCTTGATAGCAATTTCTCTATTAGGAGATGCAGAGAGGAAGATTACCTTAGTGTGGTCCAGAGGGGTTGCCTTCCTCAGAGTGACACCTTGAGTAAGAAGAAACTCAGAGATGAGTAGTCCATGGCCTAACTTTCCAGAGTAAAGGCCTGTCTTGGGGTTCTTCTTCTTGATGAATTCAATGAGGGATCACACCATAACTTGTCCCCAATTGACATTTACTCCATGATGAACTGCATAGAGGGCCTTTGCATTTGCAGTAGTGACATCATCAGTGGAGGAATATTTGCACCATAAACATTTGTGAAAAATGTTAATGAGAAGTTCGAAATCTTTCTTGAGCAGATTCTTCTTGATGTTCAGTTTTTCAACTTCTTCTCCTTTCCTGCACTAGTTCCTTTTGAATTCAGGAACAGTAACGTCAGCTTCTTCTAGATCAAATAGAGAATTCTTGTCTTCTTCTAGTTGAATATCAAAGATTTTGTTGATGGCATCAGCATCAACCAGTATGTCTTCTCCTTGGACATTAGAAGTAATGGTTTCATCTTTGTAAGAGGCGTTGAGGTAGAACTCAGCGGTGTCAATGTTACTGTAGACTTCATAGGTTAAGGTGATGACCTTGCTCAGTTGACATTCAGCTAGGCCTTCAATGATATTTTCCATCCTCTTTTCATTTTCTGCGAATCTAGGTAGTACGTCCAGTTCGCACTTCATCCCTGTCAACACATTTTTGAGCAGGGTAGCTTTCTGCTCCTTAGAGAGGTCGGTGAAGTTCAAGAACACCATAGTAGAGGGTTGAAAGCTTGGAGAGTTTTTTAGAGAGATAAAGATTCGAATGCTTGAGAGTAATGGAAGCAGTAGCGGTTTAGGTTGAAACGAAGGGAATATATGGGTTCGGGTTAGTGGGCGTTTGAGATTATTGGTGGTTTCAAGGTACCAATAAATGAAAATAGGGGCACAGTAAATATTATGCGGCTGTAATACCGTTTAAGGGTAAAAGGGTAAAAGACCTTCATTAAGTTACTAGGTCACCCGGTTTTCTCAAAATAATTCTAAGTCCACAACCTTCTGTTATGTAAGAGGAGGATTTTTGTTGCTGAGGTGTTCTGTTAGGAACGGAGGTTCTCTGTTCAATGTAGAGAACAGAAGGGGTTCTGCAACAAGTATTCTGTCAGCAGAGAATCTGTAACAGAAGATCTTCCTTTTCAACTTTCTCTTGGAATTTCATCCATCATTCCCAATTCTTCTCTCAGTTTGTTGAATCTAGCCTCAGGCAAAGGCTTTGTCAGAATATCTGCAAGCTGGTCTTCTGTTGACACATGCTCCATGCATATGTGCTTCTTCTCAACATGATCTCTGATGAAGTGATGTCTGACCTCAATGTGTTTTGTCCTGGAGTGAAGAACT